CACCAAAAAAAACAAACATTTTAGATCATGTCGCCTGCATCTGGACAAAACATTTGTGCTGGAACACACCACAATAGACTACAGCCAATGGGCAACTTGCATTCTGAATCTGTTTGAGAGGAGATGACTCTCCATATCAGCAGGTGGCAGTAATCTATATTCATTAACCAAAAACTGAAACCAAAAGAGATAGGACTCTGTGTATATATAAACCATAATCAATGTCGCAGTTGCTTACCATTTTTAAAGCTGCCAATGGTGCAGAAACAAGCAAACAGACGCTCAACTTGGTGTCATGGCCTTAAATCTGCCATAGACACTACATCTATAGACTTCTGTCTTTTGCTGCACAAAATTATTTTGACCTGTGAAGAATAAGCAGCCTTTGTGCAATGAACATGTTCTGATAATAACAAAACACTCACTACTCTAAACACTTTCTGTTTGGACACAGACACAAGCACTCATTCTTTAAGGGTGTCAGGGACAGCTGAGTCTGACATTGAGGTCTCGAAGGTCACGCACAGACGATCCATTGAGTCACTGAGAAACTGCCTTGTCTTCCAGACACTTGCTGAGATCTAAAGCGGTTAGTTATGTCAACAGTTTTGACTTTACTTCCCTTCTGCTTGAACTCAATAATGTGACCCGGTGCTCTGTTGAGGGGTCGTGACATGGAGCAGTTGCTCAGATATAAACTTAGACTGGAAGAAACAAGATTATTGGGATACTGGTTACAGAGTTTAAGCCCCAAGTGAGCAAACCAAAGATGACTGTGGCTAGAAAAAAAATACCCCAATCCACAGTCCATTTCTGAGTTTTGTTAACCACCGTGTGTTGGACAAGCATTTGTGTACTTGCGCAGTGTGTATTTGGACAGTTATGTCTATGGCGTTAGAATTAACTTCATAAATACTGTATTAAATGCATTGTCTCCAATCATGTTTCCCAAACACTCTTACCTTACCACCATTTAATTTTGCTCCACCCCCAGTTTTCTATTGGTCAGACAAACTGGAGGCCCCACCCACTCAGAGCCATTGATAAAGGCAAGAGCTGCCAAATCCTCTTATTATAAATGACTTTGTGTCATGGCTTGTTTTTCAAGAAGCTGATTATAGATTTGGGCAGTGTATTTAAAATGTATGACTAACAACATTACTGAACCCACAAACTGACTGTAACTTTTACCAGTCTATTTTGATGCCTGAAGCAATCTGATTCAAAATCTTTGTCATATTTTCAAAATTTCAGTAATCCACCAATAGGAATAAGGGAGGACACAAAGCAACCAATAGCATTGTTGAATGGGCTGAGATGTGGACTGCCACTGACCTGCCAGCAGTTTATATGTGTTTTTCCAAATAAAAGCCAAATGTTAACCATAAGTTAACATATTCCATGGTGTGCCATAGCCAAGCCACATATGGCTCTCAGTTGTGTGCTATCATCTGGACCATATACCTCAAAAAAATTGTCATCCAAAAGAAAATTCCCTCCAATTCTAAATCCATGGCAAAACATATACGGTTAAAGTTTGGCCCATATGTGCTCAGCCATGCCATACCTAGGCCAAATGTGACAGCTATCAGCCACATTTGGCCCAAACGTTCTTGCTATCTGGGTACAAGCTGCTTTTGATTCAACAATTAGAAATTTTGCAAATAAATTCAAAGCCAGCTATGCATACATGTTATATTTATAAATAATACATTATTTAGAAAAGTGGCTGTCTATCAAAGTACATTTGCATTTCTTATGAGTTTTGGGAACAATAAAAATCACTGTTTTAATTCAGTGCATGAGACGGTCATTTGGTCCTTCAATAATGTGTCGGGGTAATAGAGAAGTAAGAACAGCCTTAAATTATGAAAATGAGAACCTTTTTAATTAGAGGGCCACCAGTTGTCCTGCCATTAATCAGAAATGGGCAGTAATTGACCGTTTTTTTGTTTTATTTCAGTTGAAGGCATCTCTGAAAGGAACTGTCTTCTGAAAAGTTTTGATGATATTTTCAGTTCATCCTACCTCCGTATAATGCTTATTAAAGTAGCGTTTATAAGCAGCACTGTGACGAACAGTCTGAAATGCAGTAGTGGCCTCTAATTTCAAATGGCTAGTTTTTGTTTAAAGCCAGTTCAGCCTGTAATAGAGCAAATAAACATCTTGTTCATGTACTATTTCATTCTTTCTTGTCTCTTGCTTAAAAAAAACAGCAGTCGTTATCAGAATCGGCCTATTTGCTTGTAAAAATCAGGAAAAGTCATGGTCGGTGCAGCTCTGTTTTCAGTGATTGCCTGCACTATTTTGTGAACGAGTGCCCTTTTGTTCTGCTTAACAAACAGCTAGTATATATAGACAGTAGACAGTTTACATGCAGCCATATACAGTAGGGCAGCAGCTAAATATATTCTCAGTAATTGTCAATTCTCTGGTCTAAAGGAGTTGCATTTATAAGACTTAATCCATAAGCACTATAAGCACTACCAGCAGAAACTCCAGCCACTCCAGCTGAGCTGTGAATGAGCCCTGATCTCTAGAAAGGTGTTTATCTGTGATATCAGGCCCTCGCTGTCCCTCTATCTGCTGCACTAATCAGCCAGCGATCGGCTCATGCTGGAACACTGCACCTCCCAACACTGCTGACATCAAACGGCCCAAGTATGTAAACCATCATGGATCACTACTAATTACACCCTTGATACATCTAACATCCAAGGCCACATGAAGCCCCAGCGAGATAGTATCACAGCGTCATATAAACATGGATAAATTACAGAGTTCCATTCCAGCATCAAGCAGGAAATGCCTTCTCCCTAAAACTTACACTATTGCAAACTTATTTGAGAGTGTTTTCAAAAATATCTGAACAAATGCTATCATTGTGGTAAATAGTGGGTAATGTACAAATGTGGCTAAACTGTCAGGCTGATAGTGTAACACTAGGTTTTTGAGCAACAATGGAATTTTAAACTAAATGAATGACTCTATAAGATAATTGTACCTATACATAGTGAACCATGAGATGATCCATAATAAATGAGGGAACAAAATTTATACCAAAAAAAAAAAAAATCTGATTAATCGTCACCCTTAAAAAAAAAATAAAACCCAGCAATGAAAGCATAAATAAATGCAGTAAATAGTAATACGATAAACAGTAGCACAGTAATTTGCATCATTTATTTATGTTGCAGTGCATTGCTACTTAAAAGTAAAATAAATAAAGGTTGCCTGGTTTCTGTGTAAAATAGCCTTTTTTTTTTTTTTTTATATTATAGGGTCAATGTGATTAAAGCAATAAGGCCCAAGATGCCGTGGTTTACAGTAAATTTATAACAGTTGTTTTTATAATAGCTGTTATAAATTCACTGTAAACCACGGCTTCACGGGGCTTATTGCTTTTATAAAACGGTTATTCCATATACGTAGTAAGATTTCACAGAATAAAACAGAGCAAATAAAGTGTAATGATATAAATAAAAACAGTATTCTTCCACCAAACAATGTAGTTCCTCAGAAACGGTTGTGGTTTAAAACAGAGCAAATAAAGTGTAATGATATAAATAAAAACAGTATTCTTCCACCAAACAATGTAGTTCCTCAGAAACAGTTGTGGTTGCAACAAAGTGGTTGCCGAGCAACACACAGAAGTAAACAAAGGTGTATGTTTGTAGAGTAATTTACAGCAGCTTCGAACCCTCAGCCAATCAGAATCAAGGACCGGAACTCTCCGTTTTATAAATTATTTTAGACCAGATGACAGCACTGACACTGAAATTCTTGCATTTGTTGATCTTACAAGCTTTGGTTTTCTGTGACGTATTCTACATAGTTGTTGCAAATTCTGCTGATTTGTCAAGTTTTCAAGCTTGCTAACATAATAGATTAATTTTGTCAAAATTGCAAAATGACTTGTGATTACATTTATAGCCCTATATAATTTGCAGGTTGTTGCAATTCTTCGTAAATAATAGCTTGAACAAAACTTAACATTTAATTTGGAATATAAAAATATAGATATTTCTGCCAAATATAAAAAAGCATCGATAAAAATCTGTTTATTATAAAATAAATGCATCATTCTTGGGGGGGAAAAAAACTTATTTCTGAGCTCTGACATATACTCAGAGTTAAAATGAAATTTCAAGCAGTGACATCAGTGACATGCTTACAATTGTAGAATTATATGCTGTTTTTTTTATGAAATCATTAATCGAGAGACTGCATGTACTATTTGTATATGAAAAAAATTTTCTCTGTCACTGTCACAGGTCCAGGTGAATTGCACTTGCAAAAAAGCAAAAGATTCTTAAAAATGTTTAAACACATAATAATGGCCAGTTACAGGACATAAAATATGTGCTAATATACATTCAATATATGTTACATAGAGCTGAACAATTGACATGTTCCTTGTGTGTGTGTGCGTGCGTGCGTGCGTGTGTGTGTGTGAGCACTTTGCATAGGCCTATCTGAAAGGTAAAGTTCAAAAATGGCCTAATTTTTCAAATTGCACACAGCAAGAAATACGAACCCATATTGGTTTCAGTGGCGGCTTGTGACAAGTGCGCCACCTACCTAACGTTGTTTGTCACAAATCAAAACACTTCTGTTTATCGATGCTGTAATAAACAATATGTAAATTATAGCCAAATGTGTGAGACATGGCCACGCCCTATATATGTATGTTATAATCTTTCCTGCGTTTATTAGTTTAATTTCATGGTCAGATTATATTAAAGTATCTTCTTAAGCAAGATGTGCACACGTTATGTGTACTGGAGATCCCTCGCAGGTCTAATATCGCTGATAATGCAAACGAATATGAACAGAGCTGCATATAAAGCAGCTTTGATGCTCTTTCACACGGAGCCGGAGGAAGAAGCGAGTGTAGGAGGGAACTCAGCTTGGGCTGTGAGAGTTAAAGGGTGTGTACATGACCACAGATTTCACTCGACATTTACCTTTCTGTGCAGGCTTCAGGTGTTCAGTCAGACATGAAGCTTCATACTCAAGATTACTAATCTATCAAATGCATCTGGATTCTTTATAGACACCACAGATGTGCTGCACTGATCTTCGAGCGAGGAATGAGTGTGTGAGGCGTTACTACAGTGGTAAGTGTGTGTGTGTGAGTGTGTGTGTGTGTCATAGGTTACTGGTTTTGATGTGGGATTGATTGACGGCTCTTTGTCCTGCTTCCTGTTCCTTGTTTACATTCGTATATTAACTGAACTGACATCAGATTTCTGTGAGTTTCTTCAAATATGCGACAATCAGTAAATGCGTGTCACATCCCTGTAGTTTACATTTTAATGCAATTTTTTCCCCTAATACTGTATATCTATGAAAAAAAGAAGTGTTTTATTTTATTTATATTTATTATTTTAACATGAATGCCATTTTATAGTTTAACAGCTATTGTGGTAGCCTATTAAGCATTTTTATTTGTTTTCTGTTTTTTGATTTGTCTAGTAATACAAGTAAAGGGACCTGGATAGTTCACCCAAAATGACAACAATGGTCATCATTTACTCTGTATGACTTAGGCCTACTTTCTTCTGTGGAACATAATAGAAGATATGTTGAGAAATGTCTCAATGTTTATGCTGTTGTTTTTTGGTCCATACTATGGAAGTCAATGGGACCCAAAACCAAAAATATATTTTTGTGTTCCTTCTTTTGTATCGTTAAATGGTTCTGTTTTGTTGTTGTTGTTGTTTTTTTCACAGTCCAAACCACCAGAGACATAGAGAGGGATATTCCCTTCTGCTGAAGGTGTTTGAGCTCTGCTCCTGAGGCGTGAAGATGCTGCAGCAGATATTGGCTGACATGTACATCGAGCCGGAGCTGCTGACCGAGCTGAATGAGGAACAGAAACAGATTCTGTTCTTTAAGATGAGAGAAGAACAGATCCGGAGATGGAGAGAGAGAGAGACGCAGCTGGAGGAGGAGGAAGCTGCACATGTTAAAGTCAAAAAAGGTGTGAATATACAGGGCAGAGGATCTGTCACAAATGTATGGCTTTCTGGATTTCTCCAAGCTTGTACAAAGCTTGTACAGGTAGTAAATTTGTCCAAAAGACACAATAGCACTATTACAGTTAACATGAAATCAGAATTGACATTTTTTACTTTTTTAAATGCACATTTAAGGTCTTTCTTAATGATATGTTGATGCATGTTTTATTTCAAAGAAACTTAATAGCTTGTTCTTCCTCCAGCATTATTGCATAATGTTAAATAATAGGCATTCAGTGTCTCATTCAGTCTTTTTTATCCAATCAATTCCCAATCGATATAATCAAGTCCTACCCAATTTTTTTTCCCAAAAATATCCCGTTTCCCAAACTTATGTCTTGTTGTGGAAGCAAAATGGGTTGCGACCAACTATTCATGTTGGCTTTAACAAAATCTCATTTGTGACACTTTGGGTGACACTCTTCTTGTAGCCTCAGAGAGACAAAGTCAACCCAACATTGCTTTATGCTATATAAATCTAATCTGAGATATTTAACAGGCATTCAGTGCAACAAAATCAAAGTCATCATTGTGAATGTTGTGCAGTTTCGGGAAAGACTGTGTCGTGGATGAAGGGTCTGGATGACGATGTGTGGGTTTGGGTGATGGGAGAACATCCTGAAGACAAACCCTACGATCAGATCTGTGACGGGGTCATGGCCGAGAGAGCAGCCCTGCAGGCCCAGAGAGAGGCCGAGAAGCTCAGGTAAAACTGCACCAGTCATACTCACAGCTTCATTCATGTAATGCAATCACAATTATATAGTATTTAAATATTGCAATATACCTGTACACGCAATTGTCAATCTGTATATTGTTATTCCCTATTTACTTGTTCTTTTTTTATTCTTTTATTATCTGTGTTTTTGTCCCGTCACTGTCATTCTGTTGCACTGTGGAAGCTTCTGTCACGAAAACAAATTCAAGCTCATTCTGATTCTGAATTATAAAGTAGCTTTTCATAATGTTATCTAATACTGAAAACAAACTTATATCATGAGAATCACCATTGAAAAACAGCTTTTATGTTTATTTTTTCAGTTTAATTTTTACTGACTTTTTTCTTTTTTATTAGTCCCGCATACCACTCAGACATTTATCCATCTAAATGTATACACATCTACCAGAAATTTTAGCCTGAGGAAGGTCGATTGATCGAAATGTTGCTCATTAAACTCCATCGCCCCTATAATTGTTTTGAGTATGCAAGTACTCTATTTTTTGTACTGTATTGTCATATTACTATGTAGGTTTAATGTATTTATTAATTTAGTTTTAGTTAAGTTTAGTTCATTTTTTATTACCAGTTAGTCATTTTAGCGCTTCAGCTTGAAACTTATTTCAGTTAGTTGCCAAGGCAACATTTCTCATTTGTGTTAAATTAAAGTTTTTCATTTAATAATTATAATTTATTTTATCTTTATTTCAGTTAACCAACATGTTTTAGTTTTTGAGAGTTAACCCAATTAAACTCAATACAACTTGAAAATGTATTGCTTGGCATAAACTCCAAAGTGATCCATTCGGTCAACACTAGTTAAATATTTCACCAGTTTACGGGAATGTTGTCACCACAGCGCTTGTGTGCTAATACTGTGCTCCTAATGCCTCTTCCTCCTCATGCGCTTGTTCTTTTCAATAGGACTACTGGACAGAAGTTAAAATGAATATTAGTTTCTGTTTTTAGAGGCATTTCTGATGTAGGATTATAATAATCAGTGCCTGTTTGGGTGTATATCAGTGCAAACAAACCAAATGGCCAGTATTTCCATGATGCAATATGTGTTGTAGATAACCGCACTGAACTAAAGGGCAAAACGTCTATGTTCAAAGTAACTGAAGTGGCATCTGTTGAATAAAAGGTGATCAGGTAAATGCCTGCTGTTATCCAGTCAAAGCCACATAACTATTAGTGAACTTTATTATGTACAACATTAAACTGCCACAGTATGAAATATGGGCTTAAATCCAACACACAAATTGATAGCTGCCTGATTTTCATATCATGGAAAACACAGAAAAGCTTGCTTGGCTCATACCTTTTTTAAAGAGTATGTACTCGACAGTAAGCACAAGGAATTTCTGTTTTGCCTTGTGTGAACATGAACACTTGTGTCTAGTGAAGGACTTTACCTGTCATATTGACATTCACAGTCTTGCCTCATAGCAACTATTTCCTGTTCAGTTCTGTGAATAATTAATGACTTCCAATAACTTTAATAACCTATGCAGGTGGCCTGCATGTTTTTGTGTTTTCACGTACAGGGCTAAGAAAGAGGCTGAGCTGGAGAAGCGCTTTTCTGGCCTGTATCTCGAAACGGAGCAGGTTGTGTTGTCAGAGCAGGAGGTCCAGGAGGAGGAACTCAAGGTGCTCCCCATCTCGTCTTTGGTTTTAAACACATGGTTTGGGTCTGTCCTGACCTGGAGGCTTGTCCTTTGTCAGAAACTGGAGTTGGAGGAGAGGCGTAAGGCTGAGGAGGAGCTGAGGAGGCTGGAGCAGGAGAGGAAACAGCAGATTTATATCAGCCTGAAGGAGGTGCAGGGCAGTAAACACACTCGTGAGGAGGAGGACCAGGAGTGGCAGAAGACATGTAAAGAAAACTGCAACCATACAGTCTACACAGTTCATCAATTACTAATTAGAACTTAAGAACTACTCGAAACGGAGCAGGTTGTGTTGTCAAAGCAGGAGGTCCAGGAGGAGCAACTCAAGGTGCTCCCCATCTCGTCTTTGGTTTTAAACACATGGTTTGGGTCTGTCCTGACCTGGAGGCTTGTCCTTTGTCAGAAACTGGAGTTGGAGGAGAGGCGTAAGGCTGAGGAGGAGCTGAGGAGGCTGGAGCAGGAGAGGAAACAGCAGATTTATATCAGCCTGAAGGAGGTGCAGGGCAGTAAACACACTCGTGAGGAGGAGGACCAGGAGTGGCAGAAGACATGTAAAGAAAACTGCAACCATACAGTCTACACAGTTCATCAATTACTAATTAGAACTTAAGAACTATATTTATGAGAAATAGAGTGAATCTCACAAAAACACGTTCTTATCCTCTTAAAACGTTTTAGAAAAATGTAAAAAACCATTTTTAAAAATGATATTTCATTCATAAGTTATGCTACGTCCTTGGAAGAGGACATCGGGACTCAATTAAAAAAAATAAAAATAAAAAGACATGAATGAACATGCATAGGCAAAAACAATTGATTTCTTTTAAATCACCAATACATTTTTAGTTTTCAGGATTTTTTT